CACACACACACACACACACACACACACACACACACACACACACACACACACACACACACACACACACACACACACACACACACACACACACACACACACACACACACACACACACACACACACACACACACACACACACACACACACACACACACACACACACACACACACACACACACACACACACACACACACACACACACACACACACACACACACACACACACACACACACACACACACACACACACACACACACACACACACACACACACACACACACACACACACACACACACACACACACACACACACACACACACACACACACACACACACACACACACACACACACACACACACACACACACACACACACACACACACACACACACACACACACACACACACACACACACACTGTATGTATACAGGGTGTCCCGAACCTCCATGATGATTCTTGGTGAGAACGTAGAACGGATTAAGGTGAGCAACAAAGTCCTGTGCCGTTTTACGATATTGGCAATAATAATCGAGATATTAATAAAAAAAGATTGGTGAATGATCACGCGCAATATGGTAGATGAGTTGCAGTGACGCCGTCTGCCGTTGTATACTTATACATTAAGTCAAACTGAACAAAAAAGTCCTCTACTATTTTGCAAATAACCACATAGATTTTTAGATATTAATTTTAAAAAATTTATGTATTATGGTATACAATCATATATAAGTAACAATTTTCTTTAATATTTAAAAATCTATGTGATCATTTGCAAAATGGTAGAGGACTTTTTTGTTCAGTTCGACTTAATATATAAGTATACAACAGCAGACGGCCCCACTGCAGCTCATCTACCATATCGCGCGTGATCATTCACCAATCTTTTTTAATTAATATCTCGACTATTATTGCGAATATCGCAAAACTGCACAGGACTTTCTTGGTTACCTCAATCCGTTCTATGTTCTCACCAAGGGTCATCGTGGAGGTTCGGGATATCCTGTATATATATATACAGGGTGCTCCATATGTCCCGGACCGGCTGAATATCTCGGAAAGTATGCACTTTTGAGAAAAATATTTCAGACAAAAGTTGCAATATATAAGGTGATGTATTTAGTAATGTTAGTAGTTTGATCTTGGGTGGCGTGGCCCAAGATCAGGTCAAAGTCAACTTTGCTTTTTTAAATAGAACCATTTATTTTTTATTACGGAATTTTATTCTACGTAAAGAAACAAACAACTTTTGTTGAAAAATTTTTTCATATGACCCCTATTTTTTAAGATATTTGCGGAAATGTCTACAAAATTATTGGTTTCAATAATTTTTTATTCGAATTCTATCAACTTTACCAACAAATGGCAAGAGATAAAAATTACTTATTTTTGTCTCATAGAGCTCTGATAATTTTTTCATAATTTTTTATTAACTCTTTAATACTTTAAGAAAATGTAAGAAAATGCAATACTTAAAAGTTCATAGAAAATTCTGAAAAAATTCTTAGAGCTCTATGAGACAAAAATAAATAATTTTTATCTCTTGCTATTTTTTGGTAAAGTTGATAGAATTCGAGTAAGAAATTATTGAAACCAATAATTCTCTAGATATTTTATAGATCATAAATATCTTAAAAAATAGGAGTTGTACAATTTTTCAAACAAAAGTTGTTTGTTTCTTTACATAGAATAAAATTCCGTAACAAAAGATACATGTTTCTATTTAAAAAAAGCAAAGTTGACTTTGACTTGACCTTGGCGACGCCACTCAAGGTCAAACTGTTAACATCACTTTATATACTGCAACTTTTGTCTGAAATATTTTTCTCAAAAGTGCATACTTTCCGAGATATTCAGCCAGTCCGGGACATATGGAACACCCTGTCTATATATATATACATATATATATATATATATATACATATATATATACATATATATATATACATATATATATATATATATATA